CTAATGAGCAGGATGATTTGTGAGCTCTAAAGCTGGATTTCTCAGAAGTCCAGGACTGAGTTCAGACCTGTCTGAGTTCAAATCCTGACCTTGCCGCTTACTAGCTTCATAATCTGGGGCTCCTCCTATTTTCCCTCAGGAGCAACAGCAATTACTCAAGTTCAAAGTTGAGCTCAGTGCAGATTTCAAATGAAGAAAACTCATGCCTTCATCCTTTTCTCCTACAAAAAGTGCTGTTCTGTTATTTGCAACTCGTACATGGTGAAATCTTAGCTTAAGTGCAGTATTTAAGAATGTTATTAATTTGCTCATGTGGGTTGCTTCAATTGTGGTTTTGATGGTGAATAATTGGTTTAAATTATTTTTCAGATGGGAAAATTATATGTAAATATACTCGCGTCAGGAACTTGGGAGTCATTCTTGATTCCCACCTCTTCCTCATCACCCCAAGCCAAGCATTCACCAAGTCTTTGAATAATTATCTTCTGAACTCCTTCCTAATAGGTCTACCCTTCTCCATCCCCACTGTCACCACCCTAATCAACTCACCATCCTTTGTTTTTTGAGCTAGTTTCTGCTGCTTCTGCTCTTATGTATGCACAACCCTTTTTCCCTCCAAATACAATTAATTAGCCTCAAAAAGGTAGTATCTTTTCTGAAATGTAAGCCTCACAATTGAGAATCCATGAATACCTTACTAGATGCAAAATCCTTTTAGCAAGGTGTCTACATGTATCTCAGGCTGCTTGCAGCTCACTGATGCTCATACATTTCGCCAGTCTTCGTAATTTTAGGTGGTTCTGTTACTGCACCTTCTTGCTCACAAACTTATTCTTTTGTGCTAATTTGCTATTAATCCCATCCAGTGTAATTTTCATCTCTGAACTTTGATTTTGGCCTTTTTTAATCTTTCATGCCCCTCCTCAACACAGGTATTTCTATCTTATTTAACATAATACATATATTTATAGCAGGAATAGTAAATAAGGACATTAAAGATGTCTGGGTCATTCTGGGGTTTACTTTCATTGGTTTGTCTCATTGAGTCATTATTGTCCTGCTTTTTTGCATCCCTGGTAATTTTTTACTGGATGCCAATTTTATATTGTTGGTGTTGAGCTTTGTGTGGATTCTTTTTGTAGTCTTGTATGTGTTGAGCTTTGGTTTAGAACACAGTTAAGTTACTGCTCACAGGGAGATGATTAGCACCACTCGGCATTTTAAGTATGTGCTGCCAACACTTGAGCTCACTGCAGTAGCAACAGGGGGTGGCTGTGGACTTACTACAGTGGTACAATGTGGGCTACAGTTAATTTTGTGTCATTATGACTTAATATCGAACCTTTACATTTCTCATGACTGAATGGTGCTGCATCCAGTTGGTATGTGCATGTGCATGTGTTAATACATGTTAATTTTTAAAATTTGTGCATATTTTATAGTGAATGATAAATAGACCAGTATCTATATATATACTTTATGCATTCATCACTTTTCTTTAAGTTTTAGATATTTCTTGGCTATGTGGTTTGAGTCTTTTTTTATTTGAGTTTTTAAAATGGTCTTAAACTCCCCACAGTTTTCCAACATACTTGTAGAAGACCCATGTTAAGTGGATCTGCACAGTTCTAACCTGTGTTGTTCAGAGGTCAACTGCAATTTCATGACTTGTCTATCCCAGCGCTTCATTCATCCCTCAATAGAAATTTCTAGTAACTCAGCTTTTGTTTAGCTTCCAGAAAAGGAATGAACTTTTGGTAATACTTGTTTCTGAGAACTTAAAGCAAGATGTGAAAACAGAACTAGATTAGGCCATTCATACATTTATCTGTAATAGGAGTCACCAGAGAAGGATAAGAAAAAATAACTGTTGACTTTTATAATCGGCTGTTGTACTGGGGAAAATTACCCCTCCTAAAATTGTTATGGGATGTGTTATCTACAAACATCTCAAATATGCACATTATGGTTCATGTAAACCAAATACTTGCCTAATTGGAGTGGGGTATTGTGATGTTCAGAGATAGATATAAGAAAGCTAGAATACCAGGATGTCTCAGAAAGTATAAATTTATGGATTTATGATTTTACTTTAGGTCCACTGGATTTAGAGGTAAGTTTTCCATGTACTGCAAAAATAACCTTTCCAATTAATAAAACTAATTTTGGAAAACTTTAGCTGTACACCCTGCTAATGGGCCAGGTGAGTCTCACTCAAATACAGCATGTGCTTGGGAATATCAACAAGTAAATGCATTATGTGTGTATTCAGATTTACATACATATTGACTAGCTGAGTGATCTTAAGTAATCCTTTGCTTCTTGTGGTTATTGTTGTTCATGCTGAGTAAGGAAGCATGAGTTTCACAAAGGTGCAATAACGCTATCCCTTCCCTGCAGCACATCCTGAGCATATAGGCTGTAATAAGGTATTACTCAAGATGACAAATGGTTGTCCTTTATTAAGAACAAAAAATAGGCCTTTTGATTTACGAATTTAATAGTTCTCCTTGACTTTAATGCAAATATTGCAAAGTAGACACATACCCACTGTCTTTGTCTTTGTCCACAATACAGGTTTAGGCTACATTAAAGTTCTTGGCTATATATTTTTTCTTTTTTCTCTTCTCTCCTCTCCTCCTCTCTTCTCTTCCCTTCTCATTTTTTGTTTTTTTTGTTTTTTGAGAAATGCTCTTGCTCTGTCACCCAGGCTGGAGAATAGTGGTGTGACAGCTCACTGCAGCCTCAAACTCCTGGACTCAAATAATCCCCTGCCTCAGCCTCTGGAGTAGCTGGGACTGCAGGTGCACAGCACCATGGATGCCTAATTATTTTTATTTTTTTGTAGAGATAGAGTCTTGCTATGTTGCCCAGGTTGGTCTTGAACTCCAGGCCTCAAGAGATCCTCCTGCTTCAACCTCCCAGAGTGCTGGGATTATAAGCATGAGCTACTGTGCCTAGCCCCTGTTTTCATATTTTAATGTATAAATGAAGAAGATTCAGAGTTTCTACAGGGAAGAATACCAGCTCTTTGTAAGCCTTCATATTCCCTTATACTTCTTAAGACTACTTGCATAGCAACACTGAAAATACATCCAAGTTAGTGGGTATCTTAAACTAATTCAACTAACTAAAGCAAAGATGATAGATTTCATGTAATGATTATGGCATAGTTAAGTCATTAAATTGCTGATAAATTCTAATAGCAGAACCAGAAAACAGCCATCTAAATAAATAAATCTGTACTGTTTAAAAGCACAGGTAGGTCGTAGGCATTGGAGCATGCCGTGATGATGTAAAACGCTGCTCTGAGGGACTCCTCACACCAGACGGAAATGCCACCTCTGTAACAGATCCTCATATTCACCCGTATTCCTCAGTGTCAGCAGCACACCGTGCACTAAGCTTCAACTTAAACACGTCTTTTTTTTTTTTTTCTTTGAGACAATCTATGTTGCCCTCAGTAGAGTGCTGTGGTGTCACAGCTCATAGCAACCTCCAACTCTTGGGCTTAAGCCATCCTCTTGCCTCAGCCTCCCAAGTAGCTGGGACTACAGGCACCCACCACAACGCCCGGCTATTTTTTGTTGCAGTTGTCATTGTTGTTTAGCTGGTCCCGGCTGGGTTTAAACCCGCCAGCCTGGGTGTATGTGGCTGGCGCCCTACCCGCTGGGCTACGGGAGCCACCTCAAACTTGTCTTCGTGGAAGTTATTAGTCAGACTATTGTACTGTTTAAATACTTTCAATATTCACTGCTTTCTTAAGACTCAACTCTCTTTGAAAGGTGGATATATTAAACTTAAAATTCTTCATTTGTCCACACATTTAAAAGCATTTGGCTTCTTTTTTCTACATAAGAATATCTTGCTATTGAACAAGGAAATAACAGATAATTCCTATGTTGAAATAAGAAGCCAAAGGCTTTTCTAGGCCTAAGACTTCTGAAATAGGAGTTGACACTGTTCAAAAGCTGCTTGGTCCATAAAGACAGATGTAAACAGGGTCTCAGCCCTCTATAACCAGTGAGACAATGTAACAGTATCCCAAAACTTTTCTGCCCCTTGTGACCAGTAAGAAAATTGTATACTAAAACAACCACAAACTGTTTTGCTTACCTCTTTCTGCAGCCTATGACCTCTCCACTGTGAGCCTAAGAACTAGGGATTTTTGTTTATTTTTAGTGTGAGTTAAAGCAGTGGTAGGTAAGAATTTATTTTTCCTCTCGAGTATTAAATTAATAATCTCGAGGTAGGTTTTATTCATAGCAAGAGTTAAATCAGGTCAGAACACTTCATTCTGAAAGTGTAAAACTAAATAAAATGAACTTAAAAACAACGTGACTTGCTCTTGTCTGATGAAATAGTGTTGTGTGATCTTGTGGTAACTGGATTTACATTACTATATCCATTATAAATGTCTAGTAATTGAATTTTCAAGGGGAAAAAAAAAACCTGTCTTCTCTCCCTGACAGTGTGAGAAATGATTTTTTAAGTAGCAAATTATTTGCCCAAAGCTATTTTCTTTACAGTGAAAGGTGAAAAGTATGTATAATGGTATTCACCTGACCAGTTTCAGGGTTTACATAAGATAAAAGCATTACTCTATGTGGCCAGGCACAGTGGCTCACACCTGTAAACCTAGCATTCTGGAAGGCCGAGGCAGGTGGATTGCTTGAGCTCATGAGCTAGAGACCAGCCTGAGTGAGACCCCATCTCTACTAAAAATAGAAAAACCGAGGCAAGAGGATTGCTTGAGCCTAAGAGTTTGAAATTGCTCTGAGCTATGACGCCACAACACTCTACCCATCGCAGCAGCTTGAGATTATCTCCAAAAGAAAAAAAAAGTATTACTCTACAGGTAAAGTCATCATTGTAAGAGTCTTCTTGATTGTCAGACTTTGAATATTTGTTACTTGGAGGGACAGACCATGATGGGGAAACTAGCTTTAACAATCTGACAGTAAAAGAAATGCAGGCAATGAACTGGGGTTTTTTGTTTGTTTTTTAATATCTATATAAAAAATAACGAGCGATTTACAGATCTCTTTCTCTAATCAGAACCTCAAGTGTATATATAAAGGTACTGTACAATATATAAACATTTACAGCCAGTACATCCATATTTTGCTCAGCATTCCAAGGCCACATTGCTAAGTCGGTATATAATCAGACAGGTTACTTAGGAAGAGCCACATCAGACTGACAACATATGACATCAGTTATGTCACATCTAACAATAAAAATAGGATTTGTATTACTAATTGTGGACTAGAGGGAAAATAAACCATTTCTGTGGTACTAAATTCTTAGCATTTATCAAGCCTCCTAAAGTCGCTCTATTTGAGTAGTTACAATAGGTGGGTAAATATAATTCTGGATGAAAAGAGGATTTCAAAAATCTCACACTGGGAAACATGTCTTATCTACAGGGGCTGATAGAGTTGTTATATTGAAGAGTTTCACAGTTAGACTCTCAGAGGGAAGGACTCGGACGTAATGTATTTCACGACAAAATGAACTCAGGGTGACAGAACAAGTATGTTCAAATACTCCATGAAATAGTTTTATTCTGAGAAGGTGCCTTTATTTATGGATGCTACTTTAGGGGACTGGAAAACCTGGATCTATTTTATGGAGTTAACTATCTCCAACTTCCAAGAAACATCTTTATTTAGACTTTTAAAAGGAATTCTGCAAATTTGTGCAAGCTAAGCAGAAGTTTATTGTCACTTTCTTGTTTTTAAATAAGAAAGTTAATGTAGCTAAAAGTTAAATAGGAACCAGCGAGGACTGTCCACCACATTTGTCCTCATGTGCTGGCAAGCCGTACGTAGGCTCTGCTTCTATTAATAAAATAAATACCCGAATTTATACATCTGCTACCAGAAGAGCCGGGACTTTACCTGTTGATGGACTACGCAACTGGCTTCCTTATCAAGTCCCTTGCACAGTCTATGATTTTGACTCTTCAAATATGTATTAAAAGTCTACTGACTTTAGTTGTAGGTCCAACCAAAATATCTAGAAATTTCTCTGAAGAGCAGTAAGCTTTATTTCCCCATGTTTCTTTGTGGTTTCATAATGAAATAACTGAAATAGAAAGGGTCACCTGAGATGCTATTGCTACATCAAAGTTGGGAAACACAGCAGGAGGTAAACTCTTTCTCATTTTGAACTTTCAATTGTCAGTAATATCTTTAACAAGTTTTCTGAAATGCCTTATCCGGCCAAATTAAAATAAAAAGCATTAAGAAAGCATCAATGTTCCACTAGACATTTTTTCCCTTAAAAGTAGTGATGCTTCAGAGTTTTATTTTTGAACCTGGACATCATTAGTGGCTGTGAGAAGAGACAACTGCCAGCTTTAATGAGTTAACAGTCTCTTCTGCAAAGATTCAAAGATTTCTCTCTGTAAACATGCAACATGCTATTGAGAACATCGACTTCCAAGCCAAACCTAACTTTTTTCATTACTGTGGAAATAGCTGAATGAGAAGGCTGAAACAGACATGATACAGTAGAGAACTTGGCACACATACAAAGTGAGTCGTGACCACGTTGCTGATCTCACCCTATGTCATTTGTTCAGACACTCGTGGAGATGAGCCGGGCAGCCCGAGCAGGGTGGCAGATGAGCGCGTGGATGTAGCTCCTTCCTGAGTGCGGGGGAGGGCAGCCAGCCGTGGGGACAGTTGGTACTTAGCGATCCTAAAGGCCCTTCATGCAGCCTAGGTAACGTGATGCTCAAATTAAAACACGTGTTTCAGAAAAAAAATTTTTCTGGAAAAATGCTTTTTAGTAAGAAAAGATTACAACTTGTTTTTCTTTGTTTTATACTGAAGGTCATAGCCGTTTCTCAGCCATACCAGTACTGCCTGTGACTTTATTTGCACTTGGCACCTTCCAGGGCCCAGGAGTTATGGGTGTTTTCTTGACTGGAGAACCACACTCAGGTTTGGACCCTCTGGTCTCCTTGCTCCCATCAGCTGCCTCGAGTTCTTTCCCTTTGTGACCTTCTGTCTTGTTTAAAACCATTCTCTCTTCAGGTTCCTGCTTCAGCTTCTTTTCTGATACTTGAGCATTTTCTCCTGTTTTATCTTTACTAAAACTCGCCTCTCCTGTGATTGCTTTCTTTCCTTTTTCATTTTCAGAGACTGCTCTACCAGTAGTGTTATTAGTCTTTTTGGATGAAAGAGGCTTTTCATCTACTCTTCTGCCTTTTTTCTCCGGAGACCTGGTTCTGCTTGTTCCCAGCTGACCCTGCTTTGCCTCTTTCCTGGCGGCACCTGCCTTTTCTTTCCTGTTGGCGTCACTGTTAGCGTGGCCTGTTCTTCGACTCTCACCTTCTAATAATTTGGCTTCAGCTTTTGATAGACCTTTGCTTCCTTCAACTTTTTGCTGCTTCTTAGGGCTGGAAGAACGTCCTCTGCTTTTTCGGCAGTGATCTTGCCCGGAGCCTGCCTTGGTGCTGATCTCGCAGCTTCTGTTCTCCCCTTTCCTGGGGCTGCGTGATTGCTCTCTGGGTCTTCTTTTGGGGTCATTTTCTGGATTACTAGCAGTCTTTTCCGAATGCTCCTCTGAATACCGACTGGCTGACTTCTTGGGACTAGCAGACCTACCTCTTCGGATAACGCCGCTTTCTACGTCTAGCAGCTTTTTCTTGTCCCCGTGCCCAGGACTGTTGGGTGGATCCCTCTTAGTCACGTTTTTCTGGAGAAGACACTGCTGCTTCACTTCAGAGTGATGTTCATGTAAAGTGCTTTTCTTTTCAGGCACAGTGTCCTGTAATTCTTCTGTCTTTTCACATATCTGGACTCTCATTAAAGATTCTTCAATTACTGGCATGTGAGACTCTTCAAATATGGAAGCAGAATGTGAAGATGGGGGAAATGGTGACTGTTCATCATAAATCACATTTGAAGATGAAGGATTATTAATATCCCAATCACCTAAAAAAGTGATTTGAGTGGACATTATTACATTTGAGAACTATAAATAGGAACAGTACATTTTCAACTTTGACAGCCATTTGAACTGTACTGACTGCTTACATAGCTTGAGTATCTTATGTAGTTTGTTTACACCTCTCTCTGTGAAGGCAGATGTGTACAGACATCTGTTCATACGTGAAGAGCAGGTTGGGTAGCGATAATAAAGTAAGAGTATTCATTTTTCTGATTGTGTATAATTAGTGCAATAATATATATGATCTATATATTCTTTATTAGTAAAGCCAAGTTGAAAACATAGAAATAATAAAATTGGACCAAATTACTTGGTCCAAGAAGCTTACTAGTTGTCAATGGATACAGCTTAAGGTAATGGCAAGATCACTGATTAATAAAGGAAACCAATCTGTGGTAACCAGAACGTGGTTCACGGGCATTTGTAAATAATTTCCTTGCATTAAGCTGTCAAATTTAATGTCAAAAGGAGACTGAAAAGTGCAGAAGATAGAAATAGACGTATTTAATAGTATCACTTTTAATTAAAAAGAAAACAAAAGAAGGAAGTGATTTACAAGACATGCAAATTTACCAAGTCTTTTTAAGGAAAGACCAAGAAAAGCCCTGAAAGCCTTAATGTTGCTCAGGCTTCACGTAGGAGCACAGACCGGAAGGAGCCAAACCTGAAGAAGGAAGAGAAAAAGCCTAGGACTATGTGAAAAAAAATCAGCGCGGTTAGCAAAGATGTCACTGGGAACGTATGGTTTACAAGCAGATGGTGGAGGATAAAACAGAGGATTGTAAGCTGCAAGGGACTGTGGGAGGTTATGTCTACACTTATTCCTCAAAAGCTCTGTGGTGGGCTTGGGGTGTGGGGCGGCAAGGGGAGACGAGTACTGAAATTAGTACTGCCTTTATTTCTAGAATAGTGCATTCAGTTAAAAACAGTGATTGTCAAATACTGCGATATTTTAAATGGCTGTGATATTTCAGAAACATACAATGAACAGTACAATGAAACCAAAGAAGCTCAAGATTAGTTAGTACAGGAGGGCAGACGTGGCCTTGTCTCCAGCAACCTCCTTTTGACAAGTGACCAGAGACCCTGAAGTTTTCATGCTACTTACTCATTAAGATAGAATATTACTATACAGAAATAAATAGTACTTCTTGGTAATGCATAATGAGCCAAGGAAGGGAGAATGCTGGGATATTACAAAGAGATTTAAAATGTTTTTTGTGACATTTAAATCGTTTGCCTCTAATGTACTTGCTTTTTATAGGCACATTTCTCTGCAAAAGCAACTATGTTTTCTGATGGAAAATCAATTTAAAATATATTTCATTCTAACCAAAGTCTTGCTTGCAGTCACTTGTTTTGTAATACTATTATGATAATTCTACATAATTAGCTTTTGATGGTTCTAGTATTACCCCTGAATTAGCTAATAAAATATCTATCCCCTTCAAAAATGCTTTCTTTTGCTCTCTCCCTAATGCACAATTTTTCAGCTACCAGTGGGTTACTTTACTTACCATGGTCAGGTATCAAGCCAGTTCCTGGCCTCAGAAGAAGAAGAACTTTATTTCCACCAGCCTGAATGAGCTCGATTGCCCGAGTGTGTGTGATTCCTTGCGTAGGTTCCCCATTGATCTCCACGATCTGGTCCCCAACCTAGACAGGAACATTCACAGGAATAACACGACACTGTGCAGCCTCGTCACTGCTGCTTTTGTCAACTCTATTTCTTTTGTAGAATGTTCAACTTACGCACAGTGCTATCATGCTGGAGTTGAGGAGAGGGCAGATGGTAGCAACAGGAAGAGACAATGTCCAGTTTAATTTACTATAAAAACCTACATGGAAAGTTTATAGTAAGTCAGGATCTAGGTATCTTGGAACGACTCAAATTCTGGGCTGGGTGCAGTGGATCCCACCTATAATCATAGCATTTTGGGAGGCCGAGCCAAGAAGGTCACTTTTGAGACCAGGAGTTTGAGAACAATGTGACAACATAGCAGGACCTTGTCTCTTAAAGTACAGATCAGCTGGGCACAGGGATGCATGCTTGTGGTCCCAGCTACTCAGGAGGCTGAGGCAGGAGGATCATTTGTGCTCAGATGTTGGAGGTCACAGCGAGCTATATGAAGGGCAATACAGCGAGACTCCGGCTCTTAAAAAAAATTCCACTGGAAGTTAAACAATGGGAGTTGAGGTGAAGTGAAATTGTGAAGTTTCTACAACAATGCAAATGATACCACAAAACTGTATCTGACCATGAAATGGTACTTCCAAATATGGGTGGAATCTTGAATTTATTTTCTACAATTGGGACAGATGTTTCCTCATCTTTGAAGCTGCCACTACGTCCTACACATGTATGAGGTGCTCAGTAAATGACATTTACAGATTAAAATTCTAATTAGCTGGGTGTAGTGGCAAGTGCCAATAGCCCCAGCTACTTGGGAGGCTGAGGCAGGAAGTGCTCTTGAGCCTGGGAGTCTGAAGGTGCTGTCAGCTACAAACACCACCGCACTCTAGTCTGGGCAAGAGAATGAGACTATGTCTCCAAACAAACAAAAAACCCACAAAAAAAGCCAGATTAAAAAATTTAAGCTTACACACTAGATTAATATGAACATGTATTTAGAACCAATAACTAGCATATGCCTAATGTCTTTAGTTTAAAATCATTTCCCAGGAAAATAAACAAAGCCAGGGATCAGAGTAAGATGCCTCAGTGCTGTTGCTACTTATAAAAAAAGGAAAACCATGGAAGGGTCTAACTTTCACAAAGGACCCGATGAAAGAGGATGATGCTCGTGACTTCAAGATGCTATTTCAAGGTGACATGCAACTGAAGGACTGGCTTCCAAACAGATACACTAACAATGGACTCTTACTGAAGTTCCCCAAACCAAATATTCCAAAATAATCCAGAAGTAACACAACAGCAGAGGATTCACTTCTTTCCCCAAGGCCAGTGAGACAACTTTGTGTCTACAGATACAGCTTGGCACAGCGGTCAGGAAGCCGGGCCCGGGACTCACATCTCGGCTCTACCTCTTTATACCTGAGAAGTCTCATTTTTCCCCTCTGTTATATGAGAATATTAGCATCTGCCTGAGAGTGTGGGGACGATTTAATGAGATAAAACATGATTATATGCTTGAAATTACTTTTCAGGTTAAAGTGCATCATTCTGAAGATTAAACTGTAGAACACACCCCATTCTATACAATGCAAAAGACTTCACGTGAACTATGAAATAGAAAATAAAATGTTTTGTTGCATATTTATTTTAAAAAGTCAATCTTCGAGAAATAGGATATCAGAAATAAGACTGATGGATTTAATATATGAAATGAAAGAACATACCTTAAAAAAACAACCATAGTAAGATAATAATAAAGGTAATAGGATAGAGAAAAGAAATAATTATTAATGAAAAGGCCTTTACAATCCAGACTTCTCTATAAGCCAATATCTAGATTTCCCCTGATAAGGGATGGAGAAAGAATCCTTTCTATGAGGAAATATGGATGATGAACTGGTACTAGGTATATAATTCTGCTGATAAATGAAAAAGTAGACGGTGTCTGGATCATGACCCGAGCACATGCTGTGGAATATGGTTAGGTCTACAGTTAATTTCAATTACATTCTTCGGTTTAAATCGCCTAAATCTGTACACTTCTTTAGTACAAGAAACTGCAAATAAAACTTGTAATTGAACAGATTTGCCACCAGGTGTCATTTTTGTTGAACTTGAAAGTGGGGGGAATACAGGAGAAAAAAAGTTCAGTACTGAACTATGCAAAACTAAGAGAAAGACTTCTCTGAGAGGGAAGTGTAATTCTTTTAACATTTTAGGTTACCTTAAAAATTTTAAATGTGGTAATAAAGTGGAAAGAATAGCTTTTGATAAACTATTCTGTTGATAAATAAAACAGATAAAGATTCAAGTTTAGTTTTGTTTTCCTCGGAGAGTATCTTGCTGTGTTGCCCAGGCTGGAGTGCAGTGGCATCATCATAGCTCACTGCAGCCTCAAATTCCCAAGCTCAAGTGATCCTCCTGCTTCAGCCTCCCTATTGCCTGGGACTACAGATGTGCACTATCATGCTCAGCTAATTTTTCTATTTTTGTAGAGATGGGGTCTGATTGTTGCTCAGGCTGTAGTTCTGTATTACTGGGAAATCAAATTACAAGGACAGAGGAAAAGAGAGAAAAGAAAGAGAAAGGAAAGGGGGAAAAAGAAGAAAACCAAAAGAAGAAGAAAAATAGAAAAAAATACTGTTTCTTTTCTTTAAAAGTGTCTCTCTGTATAGACATGTATTTTTTTTTTCTTTAGAAAGATTCTCTGCTGCCCTGTGTAGAGTGCAGTAACATCATAGCTCATAGCAACCTTGAACTCTTGGGCTCAAGAGATCCTCTTGCCTTAGCCTCCCAAGTAGCTGGGACTACAGGTGCCTGCCACAATGCCTGGCTAGTTGTTCTATTTTCAGTAGAGATGGGGTCCTGCTCTTGCTCAGGCTGGTCTCAAACTTCTGAGCTCAAGCAACCTACCTGCCTCAGCCTCCCAAACTGCTAGGATTACAGATATGAGTTACCATGCTTGGCTAAAAAGCCAATATAGCTTTAGGCAGTCTTAGTAGTTTTTAAAATAATATCCACTAAAAATGTATTAAGATTTACAAAATAGTATTTCTAACACATGGCTTACATTATCTTATAACCTGTTAAGAAACTGTATGCCTCTCAATGAAATCCAACCCCACCTGGAAACCAGCCAAGGCCTGACACAGAAAAACACAGGGACTGAATTGAGCGGACGACAGACCTGGGTCCCACCTGGGTCCCACTGTGGCTTTCACAGGCTGGGTGAACCCAGTAAGAGACTCAGTCTTCTTCCCTGAGCCTCAGTTTTAAATCTGTTAAGTGGGCACAATGTCTTCCTGCAGAGTTTTTGTGAGACCAAAACTAATGTAGGTGAAAATACCTGTTGCCTGGAAAAATACATATTGCCCAGAAGACAGCAAACTCTCAGCGTTGTCTAAATCTGATTCTGTTCTATGTTAAATATTTCAGTCTGGCACTATTCCCTAACATGAACCTTTTCTATTCATCTATTTCTAATTCTCATAGCTCAGAACATTCTTTTATTTCTCTTCTCTTAATCTCTAGATGTTAAGGACTAATTAAGGCTCACCCAGTTTACAGATCCTCTCACTGACTCTCAATACCTTTCCATCAGTGTTAACAAGTTTATATTTCTGAATTATACTCTTACATTGTTCCTAATTACTTTATATACCCCTAGTCTAATACCTAGTGGGAACTAATTTTAAATATATGTATATATACATATTTTTAGAGACGGAGTCTCACTATGTTGCCCTTGGTAGAGTGCCGTGGCGTCACAGCTCACAGCAACCTCCAGCTCTTAGGCTTAGGTGATTCTCTTGCCTCAGCTTCCTGAGTAGCTGGGACTACAGGTGCCTGCCAGAATGCCTGGCTATTTTTTTGTTGTTGTTACAGTTTGGCCAGAGCCAGGTTCAAACCGGCCACCCTTGGCATATGGGGCTGGCGCCCTACTCACTGAGCCACAGGTGCCGCCCTAATTTTAAATGTTTAAAAAGAAACCAACAATTCTCAAAATAACCCCCCAAAGCCTCCAAACCCAACAAAATTCTTAGTATCTAGAATTATTATCCATCTATTTTACTTTTTGGCAAATAACTATGAAACACTTGCTATGAATATTCAAGGCACTATGTCAGGTGCTGGAGACAGTGGAACAATGCAGAGGACACAAAGTATCCTCACCAACCTAACTGCAAAATCAAGGGAAAAGAGGAGACATAGGAGGAGGTGGCAACAAGGGACGCTCAGGTGGCCCGTGGTGTACACGGTGGTTAGCTGGAGAGACACTCTCTTATCACTTGAGCAGCGGCCACCGCAGAAAGTTGTCATCAACACCATTTTACTGAGTAGTACCAGTTACATGCATAGCTTTCAAGACCCTGATCATGTTAAGAATTTGATAATTTAATAGCCAGATAAATAAATCTTTGAGAAGCTGACTTGGTTTTTAATAGTTTAGAACAGACCTAGGTCTAACAGTTAATAGTTTATTTGCTTTGTGTCCAAATTCAGAGTTCATTTTTTAAGTGAAAACTATTTAATCACTAAATTCTAATTTCTGCCTATTTGTATGACATCCTTTAGAGTTGGACCTATTTGCCTTTTGTTTGGTGAGATTCGTGGATCTGAGAGTTATATTCAGAACAAACATTTAAAAAAATAAGTGTATCCTAATTTATTATTTAATTAAATTTTTGTGAAAATATATGAAATGAGAGATTAAAAAAAAGATTTAAACTACCCAAATAGATTTTTTGTGTGTGTGTGTGTACGAGACAGAAAGAAAAGATAAAGGATCAAGATTTTTTATGCTCTATAAAAAAATGTTCTTATTGAAACTTCAAGGGCTGGGCACAGTTGCTTATATCTGTAATCCCACTACTTTGGGAGACCAAGACGGGAGGCTGGATGTTAGGAGTTCAAGACCAGCCTTGGCAACACAGTGAAATCCTGTCTCTACAAAAAAATTTTAAAAATTAGCTGAGCATGGTGGCACCCAACTATAGTCCTAGCTAATCAGGCAGTTGAGGTAAGAAGATGGCTTAGGCCCAGATGTTTGAGGTTACAGTGAGCTACCATCAGCCTGGTTGACAAAAGTGAGGCCCTGTCTCTTAAAAACACCCCCCACCCCCCCAACCCAAAAGACCTTTAAGAAGATGACTTGGGCCAAGCATTCCAAGCAGAATGCATAGGGCCTGCAGTTTGCAGATGAGGAAACAGAGATTCAGAGTCGTTACCTGAGAGTACACAGCTATAAGATGGCGAAGGAGGGTTAGATCCTTGTGTCTGAATCTCAGATCCTTGTTCTCCTCACTCACTCTAACAGTCTTCATAAGAAACTGAGGCTGGGCCCGGCAGTTCTTGATCAGCTGTACTGGCCCCATTAGGCCATCGGCTCTGTGGCTCTCCCTTCTCTCCCTTCCTGCTTCCTTTACCCTCTCCAGCCCACTCATTAGAGGCCTTGCTCAGAGTTCAGCGCTCAGCCCACTGTTCTCTAAATCTTTAGTGATTTTATCCATAACAAAGGCTTGGAATCATCACCTCTGAGCAACGTTACAATCTGGGTCTCTACCACAAGTTCTAACCACCCTCTACACATTCACACCTGCTCAGACTAGCCGGGCTTCCGCCTCAACATACTGAAAACTTACCACACCATCGGTGTACATGCCACTCTACACCATCAGTCTTTGCTGTATCCTTTCTCCCCCAGGCCTCCCGACTGGTTTTTCATGGTACAGACAGGGCGAGGCCTCTGAGTCATCCTCTCCTCTTCCTTTCCCTTCATCCTCACTGACAGCTGCTCTCACATGCGTCTCTGTCTTCCATCCCCAGCACGGCCACTGCTGCATGCACGCATTACAGCTGCCTCAATTCCCCTCATCCACCCTGCACACCACTCACCAGCATACTGCTCTGAGGGACAACTCTGGCTCGAAAGCCTCTGAGGTTTCCCACCGTCGACACCTTCACACTGGTGACACACCTACGTTCATGTTCTCACTTTCCCCTATCTCCCAGTGCGTTTTGAAATAAAATCTAGGTAACTCAAACCACTTGAAGTTCCTCTATACACGATTTATCCTTCCTTAGTCTTAAGCCACTGCTTGCTTCTTCAGCCTGGGAAGTCCTCTCTCCTTAATCTCTCCCTGTAGAGATCCTGCACACCTTTCAATGCCACCTGTTCCACAAAGTCTTCTCTAGTCACCCCTTTGAACTTGTGTATATGTCTGGTTGTTTTTTGAAGGGTGGGGGGCCGGTCATTTTGAATATAGCATCCTATTTCTTTTTTGTTGTTGTTGCTGCGGTTTGGCCGGGGCTGGGTTCAAAGCCGCCACCCTCGGGATATGGGGCCGGCGCCCTACCCACTGCGCCGCCCAGCGTCCTATTTCTTTTATCATCCCTCTCCCAACTGGCTCAGCACCAGGCAGAAGCCTTGGGGAGTACAGACACTCAACCCATGCAAACGAGTAACGGGAGGGACGGTTCAAAACCGCAATCACCAGAAGCCTTTTACAATCAGTATTAGAACATACTACCTGATAGTTCACCAGGATCAGAAGCTTTTACGACAGGTTTACTTAGTTAAAAGGTAAGGGAAAAAAAAAAAGTTCCCTTTCCCTGATGCCTACGGGTGGCAGGGAAAGGAAATGCAAAATTCTCTGGGTAGTCGGAGGAAGGTCATCTAGAAATTAACAATTTTCAGTGGGTAACTTAATTGAATATCTGTGAATTAACTATTTTTAAAAAATTAAGGACAGCAACTGTTTTCTCCATAAGATTCCTCTTTACTTAATATCTAGAGAAGTAGGGAATATGTCTCACGCAGCAATATAAACAATCATCAGGGCTTAGAAAAACAAAATGATAAACGTTTGCCTTTTAGAGTCTAGTGATAGAAAACCCTGCTTCTTAGATTCAGGAGGTTTCTACTTTCTCTTTATATCAATTATGTTCTGAAGTTTCCAGAACCTCAGTAAACGGACAGGAGTCAACTCACATGAATTCTGCCATCTTTGATAGCAGGACCGTCCTCGGCGAGACGCAGGATGAACAGCCCCATGTTATATTCCTTTCCACCTCGGAGGCTGAACCCAAAGCCCCGGGGGCCTCTCTCCAGCTCCACTGGGTAACAACCAAGGCTCTAGAGAGAAGTGTAAGAAAAACAAGTTCTTACAGATTGCTTTGTTTATATTGGGAAGAAAGACTATTTTTATAGCTGGGAGAAATCAGCTCCACTCTCAATATTCATTTCTGTATCATGAGGAAGGAATGTAAGTGTTGGTTGAAGGCCTACTTAATTTTATAAATGCAGCCTAAGTTAATCTAAGGATTATGCATCTTCTCTCCTAGTTGATCAATGTGCAATGGAATAATCAGAGAACATGATTTTGGAAAATGCTTCCTTTATGTGTATTTTGAAGTGGGGGCCCATGTGCCCTTCTGAATCTTTGAATGAGGCTCTCTGACTGAATCTAGATTTTATTAAAAGGATTTATTTAATAAACAAATAAAAATGTCCTGCTTTGATTAACTATATTTACATCTAAGTACTTAACCAAGTGTTCAAATTTTCCTACTCATTAAGGTGAACTTTTCTTTCACTCCTTATATTCTCTCATGGAAGCCAGCAGAACGCCAAACACAAAGGAGGTCTTCAACAATTTATTCATTTTGGAAACAATTCCTGTGAACCAGTTTGCAATCAAAATTTGCCAGTGTCGGTGATACAGCAACTCAAAGTATCAGTCCACACGTGGGGGCACGTCTGGTTACCTGGTTGTGCCGACTGCCTACAACGGAAATCACTGCGGTGTCAGGCTGTGCAAGGTGCTTGTGGTCAGACCACGAATGTCTGTAAGAAGCAGAGACCTCTTTTCCAATTTCACCTTCTAGGATATTTCTACGAGAGAGAGAGAGAAATCAAGTCATTCTCTGAACTGAGAAAGTGAAAAACAGTGTAAAAGTAAAGGCAGATGGATTTGTTTTCGCTGAAAAGCTAAACATTGCCATTCTTCTTCTGAAAAACAACGGTGACGATAAACTACACCTAGAGCTAGAGAGATGCGAGGGAAAGCCTGCTCATCACCCCCAACAGCCCTGAAGTCTGTCAACATCCCAGTGTTTTTTAAGGGCACCTCTTCGTGCAGTTTACATCAGGGAAAACTGCCCTCAGGTAACTGAACCAGAGGGCAGATGAGGTGACCTTGTCACAGTGAGAAGTCACTCGCCGGGAGCACCAACACCTATGATGCTGCTGAATTTCTGGAAAATCTAGGTTTGATTTCATGGCTAATACTTAACAAAAGAAGAAAGAAATGGGTACAAGCTACTGCTCTGCTCAGATGGTCTGAGATGACAGCAGTTCACGTGGGCCAGGGCCTCCCTCCCCAAACTGTGAGGACCAGGAGTGCAAGACCCAGAGGCTACGTCACTTCCTTCTAGTCCTCACCTGTCAGGCACGATCGGATAATTCTAATGTGCCCGCAATGAGGCCTGGGCAGAGGGAGGAAGGTGTTAAGGATGGACAGAATAGGGAAGGAACTTGAGGGAGAGACAGACACGAGTTCTCACTGTGACCTCAACAGCTGGCTTCTGCTCAACTGCAACGGAGTTGGGTAGGTTATGAAGAGTGGAGAGATGAGAAGAACAGCCCCACCTGTCCCCAGGTATGTGGTTGGCCTGAGCCTGTCCCATGGGCCTGTGCTGCAAGGCTGGGCTTTGCCTGGCTGAGTTGGTTCCGGATGGTGGACCATGATGATCTGTTCAAATGAGAAAGAACAGAAATAAGAATTTTTACATAAACACATGAAGGCCAGTGGCTCTAGGAAACTGCTCTATGATGTTAGTGACTTCAGCACCAACAGCACCCTGTCAGCTTTAACATCTTCTTCCCGGTGGGTTTGGTTCATATTTCTGTTTCAGAAGAACAGGAGTCACATTCCTCCTTCCCCACTTTCACCTTTGCTTTGGTCATCCATACAACAGGAAAACCAGAAATGAATATATTCAATAATATTTATGTAGAAGACAGAGCTCCAAGAATCATCCTGTAACCTCTTCTTTGAGTTTCCATGGCACGCTCCTCATGATTGGTAAACCATTCTAGATAACAAAGAGGGTCTCAGGAACGTTGGGGCACAGAGGCCCGTCTGCAAGCTACACGAACATCTTCGAACCTGCAACTTTAATAGGGGAGTAATTATTCTGCCTGACACTGACTCCCAGAGACAAATCCACACTTCATAGCCAGGCACAGTAACTGCCTGCATCTTGAGCTTGATGGCAAGTCACAGAAAAGGACAGTTAAAAGAGATTTTTAAGGCTGTCAGACTCATCTTTTTAAAGCTGAAATTTTGGAACATTTTCCTCTGTCCAAATATCAAAGGACAGGATATTTAAAATACCAAAGACGGGGAGCATAGCTTAGTGACTAAGACCATAGACTCTGGGGGAGGATGGACAGGGTTTAAGCCCGTCCCCATCATTCACTAGTGGTGTGTTCTTGAGAAAATTAGTTATCTTCTCTACACTTCCAAAAAAGAGGAATTATTGTTACCTCATTTGGTTATTGTTTCAAATGAGCTTATAAATGTGCATGCTTATTATAGTCCCTGGCATATAATATTCACAATATCAAAGTTCCTGTTATAACTATTATCATGTCACTGTCAAAATGATAGACTGCATTTGGGGCTCCATTTCTCCTTAAGTTTATATTCTAAAATATCTACTTCATTTTCAAAAGTCTTCAACGTGGAGGCCATTTTAGGTTAGAATGTCTGGAAAGTGCTATCAGTTGAATCTTGGAATATAATGGAGATAGACAAGGTCTGATGTTAAAGATCAGAGGTCAATGTCAGGGAGCAATTTCTGTTGAGACATCTGGAGCTTCAGGCTTTTCTATGCACACCACTATTTCATGGCTTACATTAAGTTATTCTTTTTCAAAGTTCTATGGGACTTAAAACTGCTCAATAGATTAATTTAAGAAATTCTTGTATCTGGAAACTAGAGAGTGCTCCAAAAACACAGGAAAAAGACTAAGAAGTGGCAGAAGGACAGAGAAATGGCATATGCCAGGCCAGTGGCCCCTGAGGACTTCTGAGGCTCTCTGCGTGCGTGCTGACATGGGTCTCAACAATGCGCACCAGACCCTCGGTGTAGGACCAGCCATGGGACCATGACTTAAAGCCGAGTATCCCAGGAAGGGAGGATGAGACTAGGGCAGGCAAGGAACCTTTTCTTGGGGAAGGGAGTGACCTGGAAATCTGCTTTTCTTTTAGATCGTCACCATGAATCTTATTTTCTTAATTTAACAAGTTACTTATATTGGCCACCTAACTGGTCTCCTTGCTACCAAGGACTCTGGTTCTGAAATATGCCACTGCTTTGCTTAAAAACCTACAGTGACTTTTTCTTGCTTATAAGAAAGTTCTATCCAACCTCATCACCTGGGCACTTCTGCCTTTCCATTGTACCTTCTGTCTAAAGTATGAAATCCTACCCGGCTCCTTAAGCACGTGGTGGTCACAATGTTTTTATGGCATTTACCTCACTGTGTCAGAGCCAAGTGAACACCCGAGTCTCCTGTCTGTGACTGCAGGGATCAACCTCGTTCATCTGTACATTCCTGCCCACTGGAGATTCCCAGAAGTCCTTCCACCTTTACCTAATGGGGTATGTCAATTCCAAGTTGCCTGTATCTACACTCAGGTGTCCATTATAGAGCTGAATACTTTCTGTCACTATAAATTCATGGCTGCTGTTAAGGGGATGGAAACTGATGGGGAAAATTGTATCTATCAACAAGATGACTGGGAGATTCCTGTACCTCTGTGTGAGTCCAGTGTAGGCGTTTATCAGCTTTGGGGCTTGGCTATAGTAATCATGTGTGAGTAACATCCGAGCGGGACAATGTTATAATCTGATCGATCTCAAGTGTTCTTCTAGCTTCCCCTGAAGTTGAGAGATGTCGCTTCCAGGCAAAATGTACCACCAGTTGGTGCTTACTTTTTAAGTTACATGTGCGTTTGTTGTGCTCATCCAGGAGAAATAAGAGTTTCTACCACTGATATTCTTTTCATTTCTAGTCCTTCAACCAATGCTACATGGCTTCTCCAATTTTTTTGTTAGAGGCTATATTACTTATCAAAATTAAATATTTATTCCATGATGTCAAGCAGGCCTATGTTTTTTCTGAATTTTATCTGAAACGTCTTAAAATAGTAAAGCAGCGGTTTAAGTGTGTCTTCCTGCTGGGGTGTCTGTGAGAACAGGCGCCTCTCGTTTTACTGCACTTTCTGCTCGATTGCACTTTGCAGACGCCTTCAGTCTGTAAAAGCTACAGGCTTGGGCACATGTGAAATGTACCAGGTGTAGACTAGAAATGTCTTAACACAATAACTAAGAAAATGTTGTGAAGGCTGAGTTGACTAGTTTGAGGAAAGCATTTCCAACTGTATGTAAAACTAGCACATTATATCCCATGATTGCATTAATGTACACAGCTATGATTTAGTTAAAAAAAAAAAAAAAAGCTACAGCCTTGTTGAGTGGCGCCTGTGGTTCCGTGGGTAGGGTGCCAGCCCCATATACCAAGGGTGGCGGGTTCAAACCCGGCCCTGGCCAAATTGCAACAAAAAATAGCCAGTGTTGTGTCGGGCGCCTGTAGTCCCTGCTACTTGGGAGGCTGAGGCAAGAGAATTGCCTAAGTTCAGGGGTTAGAGGTTCTTGTGAGCTGTGACACCACAGCACTCTACTGAGAGTGACAAAGTGAGACTCTGTCTCTAAAAAAAAAAAAGCTACAGGCTTGTGGCAGGCCTGTGTTGGACAAGTGTATCAGCACCATTTCTCCACAGCATGCACTCACTTTCATGATTCAATAACCAATATTTTGGTTATTCTTGTGATATTTTAACTTTCCCATCATTACTGTATGTGGTCTGGTGACCTGCGATGGGCAATCTTTCATCTTATGTTCCTGGATCACTGGAAACTCCCATGAGTCCTTGCACATTTGCTTGCCGGGTGTGTCAGTTTCAAGTTCCTTTCTGCAGCTGTTTGTGGGCACATGAACATGCCCCTCTAAGATGGTGAACTTAACTGACAAGCGCTGTGTGTTCTGACTGCTCTACCTTTCTGTCTCTCCCTGTCCTCAGGCCTCCGTGTTCCCTGAGACACAGCAATGTTGAAATTAGGCCAACTAATAACCCTATGGTGGCCTCTAAGTGTTCAGATAAAAGGAAGAGTCACACATCTTTCACTTTAAATCAGAAGTTAGAAATGATGAAGCTTAGTAAGGAAGGCACCTCGAAAGCCAAGACCGGCTGAACGCTAGGCCTCTTGCACCTCTAGCCAAGTTGTGAATGCAAAGGAAAAGCTCTCGGAATGGTAACTGAGTGTTGGCTTGAAGGAAATTAAAAGTGCTAGTCCAGTGAACATCAGAATGATAAAGAAGTAAACAGCTCTACTGCCGATAAGGAGAAAGTTTTAGTGGTCTAGATGAAAGATCAAACCAGCCACAGCATTCTCCTAAGTCAAAGCCTAACTCACAGCCCTAAATCTCTTCAATTCTGTGAAAGCAAAGAGAGGTGAGGAAGCTGTAGAAGGAAAGTTTGAAGCTAGAAGAGGTTGGTTCGTGAGGTTTTAGGCGAGAGGGCGTCTCTAGAACATGAAAGTGCAAGGGGAAGCAGCAAGGGCTGACGTGGAAACTTGGCAAGTTACCCAGAAGGTCTAGTCCGGTGACTGATGAAGGTGGCTACATTAAACCACAGATTTTCAATGAAGATGATACAGTCGTCTATTAGAAGATGCCTGCTAGGACCCTCATAGCTAGAAAGGAGGTGTCAAGGCCTGGCTTCAAAGCTCCAAAGGACAGGCTGACTTCACCATTAGGGGCTGATACAGCAGGTGATTTTAGGTGGAAGCCAACTCTCATTTACCATTCCAAAAGTCTTAAAGCCCTGGAGAATTCCGCTAAACCTATATTTCAGAGCTTTAAAAATGGAACAACAAAGTTTGCATGGCAGCACATCTGTTTACAGGATGGTTTACTGGATATTTTAAACTCACTGTTAAGACCTACTGCTCAATCCTTTCAAAACTGCTCATTGACAGTGCATGGCCTTGGTCACCCAAGATCACTGGTGGAGGTGGACAAGAGCATGAATGTTGTTTTCACTCCTGCTAACACAGCATCAGTTCCGTTGACCACAGATCAAGGGGTAATTTTGACTTTCAAGTCTCATTATTTAAGAAATACATTACGTAAGGCTACAGCTTCCATAGACAGTAATTTTTCTATGGATCTGGGCAAAGTAAATGGAAAGCCTTTTGGAAAGAATCCACCATTCTTGATGACATGAAGAAGCTTAGCAATCCATGGGGAGGAGGTCAAAATATCAAGATCAATAGGAATTTGGAGGACATTTTATTTGTTTATTTAGAGACAGGGTCTCCCTCTGTTGCCCAGGCTAGAGGGGATGATCAAAGCTCACTGTAACCTCACACTCCTCGGCTAAAGGGAGCTTCCTGCCTCAGCCACCATGCCAGATTCATTTTTAAAAATTTGTTTTAGAGATGGGTTCTTGTTATGTTGGCCTTGAATTCCTGGCCTCAATTGATTCTCCTACTTTCCCAAAGTGCTGGGAATTACAGGTATGAGTCACTGTACCGGGCAAGTTTCGAAGAATTTGATTCTAATCCTCATGGACAACTTCAAGAGGTTTGAGCCTTCAGTGGAGGATGTAACTGCAGATGT